GCGCTCTTGAAAGCGCAACTCCAAGAAAAGAAGAGGGGCTTCCCTCAGTCCATGAAGGTGCTTTCTTTATTGATTGGTAGTTTGATGCTAGCTGTTATGCTAAGCTAAGCAATGCCGCTTATAGCAGTTGGACAAGGAAAGGCAAGAGCGAGCAGCCACACATGAACCGCGATAAACGATGTCATGATAGGCTTTCCATAACCATCTTTCCGTAATCAAATCCTTCTTTCAGTCTCCTAATAAACGAAAAAGGATTGCTGTGAAAGCTGTGCTCGATTTCCTGCGCTAAGAAAGGGGAGTGCCCTATTTACCAAGAGGCTGCAGGCCAACTCGGAAAAGAAGGAGTTGCTATCGAATTCGAATAGGCTTAAGAAAAGGCTGTCACAGAGAAGGAGCAAAGTAAAGGGAGGAAGGAAATGGGCAAATAGGTTCAATCTGTAACTGAAAGCAGAAAAGTCAGAAAGAAAGACATAAAGCAAGGGAATCTGGTAATCCTACTGCTACTAAGACTACTCCGTCTTAGGGCTAGGAGTTAAGGCGCGGCGTAACGGGGCGTAACAGCTGGTGCTCTAATCTGAGCTAAGAGATAGGAACTGCACTTCGACTTGATTTATTCTACTTCTCCCTCTCTAACCCAAGTCCTAGAAGTGAATGAGGTTTTTTTCCTGGAATAAATTTTGAGTGTGAATTTTCACTAGTGCTGTGCTTACTCTTTAGTGGTAGAGTTTGCCAGAAAAGCAAAGCCTTAGAGTTCTAGCGGGGTTGCTCTATAATCAGCTCCTTAAGAATAGAGACTTCTTTGTGAAAATGTCCTTAGAAAAGCAAAGGCTAAAGCCCATACCATACTGAAATGTGTGAATTCTAACTGTCTTGCTTCTGAAAAGCTTTACTTCTTGGGTACGAAACTTTTGTTTCAGCTATCATTCGATCTCGAAAGAGTGCCTTTTGGCTTTATCCTTGTTGGGTCTGGGCTAATTCTTGAAAGCAGCAGCAGCTACTCCTACCGCTACTTTAACAGAAAAACTACCGATTCTCATCCTCAAGCCAACTCGTTTTCTTTACATCAGGGTGGGTCAAGAGCGGCGGGATCGGGATAGGCATTAGGGGATTTTAGAGTGCCCTTACATCTAGTTTCTCCACTATGTTGTCGAGCTACTTCGTTCCTATCTTGTAATACTATTAAACTCCTGTAGCAAGAAAGAGAGAAGAAGGGAAGTTGGTCACCTGCAGAAGTAAACAAAAGACTGGTATTGTAGCTGAAAGAGTTTCGAATCAGTGTTCAAAACTGATTGAGGGCTCCCGAAGAGGCTAGTTGACTCACTATAGCTATAGTCTCAATCTGGTAACCAACCAAAGCGCATGCATAACTATGGCTGCCATTTATGCAAGCATTCTCATTCACAAGCCCAAAAAGCAAGAGCAGTCTCTTCATAGCACCCAGCACCCGGCAGTCCCTTACCTATAGCCTTCCTTGGACCATAGGGGGTTACCCTCTAGAAGCAGTTTCCTTCCGCCCTGCCTTAGCAAGAATAGCATTATTAGCCTCTCTAGTAGTTCTAATGCCAAGACCTCCATCTCTCTTCCTTAAAGGAACTTTGTCCCAACCCACCAGGTGCATCCCTTTTTTAGTAGGATTCAGTAGACCATAAAAAGTTTATATTGATTTTGTCCAGCAGGGTACAAGTATGAGCAGGCAGTAAAGTAGTTTGCATTACATAGTAAGGAAGGGCAGTAGTAACAGCCTGAATAAGAGTAGCTCTCCCAGCGGGGTTAAGGCATTTTTCCTTCCATCCTTGCAACCTCTTTTTAACTCTTTAAATGATGTAGTTGAAGGTACTCTTGCTAACTTTTGAGTGGAACAAAGGGATACCTATAGACTTTCCTCGGTTATCAGTGATGTGGATGCCACTCTCTTCTTGAATTTCTCTCACCAAGGATCTAGGAGTCTTTGGGCCAACAAAGATTTTATACTTTTGAAGATTAACTTTATGGCCAGCTTGTTCACATCACATAAAAAGTTTTCAATAAGAATCTTAACTTATTGGAGCTGCTGCTGAAACAAGATAAGAAAAGGAAAGAGTTAGAGTCTACAACTACAACCTCCCGCTTGAATTGGAATCTTATCCCTTGGAATCAAAAGACAAAGAAAGAAGTCTTGGAGTGAGAGGTTCCTCTGTAGCCAGTTCCAATTCATCTTAGTCGATCGAGGGGTTCATCTTTCGAAGTGATAGTTCTGGGCGTCTTGGTATTGGATCCGCTTTTCTCTCGTGCTCTTCTGGGCGGTACAAATAAATTAGGAATGAGTGCACCGAAAGACAAGACAACATAGAAAACTCATCCGCTTGTCAATTAATTCTTGGTGTAATACTAACTTCTAACTTTTTAGTCTATGAGCTTTCCTCCCCCCCATTTTGGCTGCGTGAATGAAATCCCCGGTCATTCACTATCAAAACCACCGACCATCCATCCCTTCTGTCTAAAAGAAGGTGAGAGCTTATGACGGCTTGGAGCACCCGCTGATAGGGAACGCTTTGTCGGGTGCCACGTTCCGTTATCTGATTGACGTACGACCGATAGGTACGCTCCGTCATAAGCTCCCCCCGCGGAGAGTGGAGATGGTGCTTCTCCGTTCGAAAGTAAGAACAACTTCCATCTGACCGCTTTCACGCTTCCTGAATCCTGTCGGTGAATCTAATATGAATAGTTCGCCAGGGGGGATTTGATCTTCAGGTAAGGTGCGTATTGTATCGGATAAAAGGCTGCGAATAGGCCTCCTCTCTTTCCAGCGCTCTCCTCTACCCCTAACATTTTGTTCCCTTCCCTCTTCGCTAACCTCTATTCCGTTGAATGCTATTCAGTCTGGGATCGAGCCCAACTATTATAATTATAGTTATAGCTTTCTTCCAACAGCAAATTCATTCGCAAGAACCGATGTCGTACTGCTTCAGTGGAATGCTCCGTAACCTTACTCACTATCTTGACTAACTTAACTGTCTTCTTTTAATGAATGCCCTAGGCAGGCCTTCTTCACTAGCGCAACCCTCCCTAACAGTCTATGAATGTGCAGTGGAATCCCGTTCGTATTCTTCCTCAAATATGTAACTTTTCCTTTATCTGATTGCAACCTATTGATCGGATTTACTGTGCGCGGATATCTTCACTAATGATTCCACCTCCTACTCCTTCCCCGGCACACAAAAAGAGTGCTAAAGTCGGAAATAACTCTCTGTCCAAAGTATGGAGCTTTTTTAGCTCTAAAGGTGCGAAGCGATAAAACTTATCCCAATAGGAATGTGAAGGAGAGAATAATATTTTTTATTATATAATAACATAACTAAGATCTAGGAGAGAAAAAAAGTCTTACAGATTTTTAGATAGACTTTTTCGTGTCATATTTGAAAGTCTGAAATGAATGGAAAAAAGCATGGTAAAACTACCATAAGAGGGCCCTTCATGGCAGTTGGTAGTCGGCAACCAGTCTTCTTTCTTTAAATAAAAGGCTCAGGGCAGAGACCTTTTTTATTTGAGAATAGCAAGTCTAGTCCAGGTTTAGGAGCACATCCCCGGTAGCAAAGGAAGAAGGAAAAAGTGCGGCAGCTTTAGCTGCTTGTAGAACATTGTCTGAAGAGCTCACTGAAATAAGGTTTCCAGCTCCTAGGATCGATCCTTGCATTCAAATAGGGGAGCTCTCAAGCTCGATATTTTCTTTCTGATACCAGCACACAAAGATCTTCCCTATGAACAGGAGGCAAGATTTCTGCAGCTCCGAACTTTGACCACAAAACAGAGAACAAGGATGAAAAGAAGCTTTCTTCACTTTGACGGTCGACGGTCCTAGTGTGAGTGGATGCGTAGTTTGAAAGTATTTCCACCTGAACCAGGGTCGTGCTTAACCTTTTTCTGGGAGGAGGTCCACATGGACTTAGAATGAGGAAGTAAAGCATCGAATTCCATGTGTTCAGCATGGATTTCAAGATGAGGAATAGCACAAAAAAAAGAGGAAGCGTCCGGCATTAGAGATGGCTTCAGACTCGACCTGAAAGGTGCCAGTTACATCTATTGGACCAGACGGAAATACAAGCTATCTTGTAGCATGCATGGGTTCGACGTATTCTTTTGCTTGAATTCGACTAGATCCCTTCCCGCCTAGTAGTTCTCACTGGTAGGCTACCGGGGAAACTCGGTGGAGCCGCTGGTGGTTCTTTATCTCTTTGGCCCTTAGTTGGCGCCCTAGTCGACCTCTTCTCTTTATCAATTCCACTTTATGTAAACCCCTGACTCTGTGTCTCGCGCTTTTCAGCCTTAATTCCATTCCCGTAATTCTTATATTAAACTACATACATCAATTAAGAAAATAGTATAGTAATCGAAGATAAGATAGAGTCTTACTTACTAGTGGCCCTTTCGGGGACTCTTGGGTGAGACTGGAAAGCCAGACTTATTATACCCTTCCCTTCGTGCCCCTCACCCGAGGTCACCTGTTGTCCATTCAATCCGATCGGGGAATAAGCCAAAGGACAGCCAAGACCATCCTTCCGAGGTTTAGGTTCAAGGGTTGATTCGAAGACGTATCTCCCTAACAAATAAAGAAAGCTTTTTGCCTCCTTGCCTCTGTATGAGCCTTTTCGCTAATATGCTCGGAAAGTCATGGTTCCTTGCTTGTGGAGTTCCTTCTTGGATTGAGGGAGTACGGAACCAAGCCCGGCCCGATGTTCTCTCCCATTAAGTTAAGCAATTTCGAAATGAATTCAAGGCTTGCTTTTAGAGCAATTAAGCTGAAAGATGAATTGAGAAGATCCAGAGTGAACTAATGAGTTTGAGTTCATGAGGTTTAGAAGCGAAATTGCACGAGCATTAGAGTAGCTAGGATTTTATACGAGTGAGACGAAGACTCGATGGTTCTTACAGACCAATCTCGACAAATAACATAAATTGGACAGTAACGAATACGAATTCATTCAATTCTAAATTCTTTGTCTCTCGACTTATAATTATTTAGAATGGATGCACAGAATCCACAGCTATTGAATCCTATCTTTGAAAGAAGGAAGAGGCATATGCCAAAGAAGAACGGCATTTACTATAGGAGGAAGGAAGGAAGCCAGGGACACGTGCAGACGCTTTTTTTTATACCGGAGAAGATGATTTTCGGCATATGAGTCTTACTCGGACATGAAACAGAATCCGTTTTGTCCGTGAGTGGGAGAAAATCCGCACCTGAAAGCAGGAAAGATCCAATTCCATGTGTTGCGAAAGAATAAAGAATGGAAAGACGGAAAGCTACTCTTCTTACCGAATAACCCCTCACCTTGACTTCAAGCAGGATTGAATCAATCAAGGGGACTCAGCTGCACATTCATATGAGTAAGCTCCTTCTTTAAGTTAAGGCCCAAATGCCATGATCAGAAAAGGAAGTAGAATAAGGGAAGGTGCCAAGTCTTTTATCTCCTTTGGGAGTCTCTCGTCCTGGGACTTTTCTTGTCTGTCACTTGAATTAGGTTCGTTCCAGTAGCTTGCCAAGGTTCCTTTGAGGAGGGGTGTTTACAAGGGTTTTGGAATGCAAGAATGTAGTGGTAGACGAGAGGGAACCCGAAAATGCAGATGTAACCCTAGACTGTGAGTCCAGGTGATTTGACCCTTCGTAAAGATTTGATTCGAGGCTGACCTGCTCCAAATGCTGATTCTGCACAGGTGTCCTCGTTTTATCTGAGTGAGGATTTGATTTGTCTCGCTCCTCTTTCTGGACAAGCTGAGATAGATGCTCTTTCAGGTCTTCGTTTTAGGGTTCCAAACCTGACTCTAACAAGTAAGTAAACTACCTTTATTGGGAATAAATTAATGGAAGAAAACCAACGACAACTTCCACGGAGCCATCTCTATATGCGCCTATCAGTGAGCTGATTGCTCTCCAGGGCCTTTATCGAAAAGCTTCATCGCTCGGATTTGTGCTGTGGCTGTAGCCCCGAAACAGAGTAATAAGGAGGCTGAGATGAGAAAAGAGAGACCTCACGGGTGAAACCAGTACGGCATAAGCCATAGGTCCGTCCTAACTAACGATATGGAAAATAAGCCTTGGCCTTTTCTTCCTTCCTTGAGGACCAAACCGATCTTCGAAGTTGAAACCCGAAAGTGAAGTTTGCTTTGCTTCTTTCTTTGCTATGAGAGTAAAAGCTGCTCAGAAAGGTCTTGCCTTTCCTATTACCGAATCGACTGCTAACAGCTGGCCTTACCTTAAGCGCGTTACAAACTATTGTTCTTGACAGGTTAACCCCTACACTGGGGAGCAAACTGCCTATCTGGGAGGCTTTCGATGGGCCTATTGGGGTAAAATTCTAACTTCCGCTGTTGGACCAATACCCCCCTTGTATTCCTCCAGCTCAAATGAAAGTGTTGATTTTTGTTCTTCTCTATCTGCTATTAATACGTATATCTCCCTCCTGAGAGGAATATTTTATCCATTAAAGGAGCACCTCAACAGCAGGAGCTGGTATGGACTTTTCTTCCCTCCGTGGATGAACCGTCTTGATTCATTCCTTTTCTTCCGTCATTTATGCACTTCTTTAGGAAAGAGCTTTGAGACTTCCTGCCCAAGGAGATAATGTGAACCAATAATTAATGCGATTATCAAAGAAGCGGCTAGACATAGGTCAAAGGTACAACCGCTACCGCCAGTAGGATTTCCTTGCTTTACTAACCTACGAACCGCACCGCACCGTGGGCACCACGAAGGGACTAGTTTTGGAATAAGAGTCAAAGACGACGTGGACGTCATACAACACAACACAAGCAAAGACAGGAGGTCATTTCCATCCCGAGTCTCAAACAAAGAGGGTGTTGGTTAGTTTCCTTGCGGCTGCCCTAATAATCTATAGGATTTATTCAGCTTTCTCTGAGGCTTGAGAGTCAGTGCCTCTTGCCTTTTCCCAATCAGAGTTAAGCTAGCTCATTTCAAGAAAGCAAACAAGTGCCCGTAAGGCAAGCCTTCCTTTGAAAAGTGGAGTGGTAGTTTTCTTTTATGTCATGCCAGTTAAGGCAGTGGATGCCATTACTTGACTCAATCTATCCGGGTGATCGAAGGCGTATCGCGATCGACGCTTATTATACGTTGCTTCGACTGCTGTGTACATCCCCAGCCAATAAGAGAAGAGGAGTGGGTACCAGACTCCCTAAGAGGAGATAACAGTGGCTCCGCGCCCCCTAACTACTGAAGACCTTAAAGAGGTGGTTGAGTAAGGCATAGATCGCTGATTCTATTAATTTAATTCTTTGAAACTACGCGCTAGACTAGACTACCCTCTATTTTAATAGTAAGATTTTATATTATTGGCTATTGGCACTTCTATAGAATAGAAAGAAGGTCTTGAAGAGCCTCGTCAAAAAGTACGCCCGCCCAAAGACTTATTTCCTTTAAGCAGAGACCCTTTTTCTGTGAGGGGCCAGTCTTTCAGTAATTTCCGAGGGCAATAAAAAAAGCTCTTGGCCCACCTTTCACTCTGTTCACGGTTAGCCGGGAATGAGACTGGGAGTTGGGCTTTAACCTCCTTCTCCTTTACCGAAAAGGGAAAACTATGCTATACCAGCGAGTGGGGAACAAGAGTCAGAGATAAGGTGAACAGATCTCAGAGCAGGCTACGAGAGTATATTAAATATGTCTGGGCCTCTTCGGAAGGCAGTTCAAAGGGGAGCTATCAAGGCTCAAGGAAAAGTATCACCTCCGTCTAGTGCTACTATTAGGGAAGTAGACGAACGATCAGGCTTCCATCTACCACTCTAAGGGTTGGAAGGTATATAAAAGGACGAGGAGTTCAATAGTAGGGAAAAGCCTTAGCCAGACGAGTGGCTTATTAAGGAATCATGGCACTCAAGTCCAACTTTAATAGATTACTTTATCTTAGGGAATTAGCCAGAGGGGAAGGACTCAATCATAAATCATACTCAAAGCTATAAAACATTCAATTTTAATGAGTGAAGAATAGTCTTTAAAGCGAAGTCTTCATTTAATCAAACATATATTTTTAAAAGATTTAGGAAAGGGTGGTATAATTTAGAATGTCTAATTTAATATATAAATCATATCTTTCAGTCTTTTATTAAAGTCTTAATTACAGAAGGCTTACTTCCCTTGTTGCTGGGACACTTTACGGCTTACCGTCTGGAAAATATTTTGAGGATGTTCGACTCTTAATAGGTGACTTGTCTGCAAAAGGGTACGTATGCTTTAACATTAGATCCGGTAAAGGCAGGAGCTGGTTAAAGGGCAGAAAGATTAGTTCAAGTTTCTTCCGCTTCATCTCCTCTGATAGCAGTATAAAGACTTCATACCTCTCCAAGCCTATGAGCTTCAACACCTGCTCTTCCTCCTTTCAGGTCCAAGGCGAACAATGCCTAAAGTACAACAGGATAAGACTGAATGGGAGGGGATAATAAAATACCTAAACTAACCAAGGGATAAGATTCTTTTCGGGTAAAAACTTGCAAGATAAGTTCCCCCTCCAACTACTAAATACTCCAACGGGTGGAGGAAAAGACTCAGATATGACCCCAAGAAGATAATCTTTCTTGAATAGGGGAGTGAGCGGCATAGATGGAAAAGCGGATCTCTTCGACTTAGCAAGAGCTTATACCTCGGCTGAACTTTCTCTACATCGGTCAGGAGTTGATGAGGAATCGGATAGACGAGTCAAGGCTTCTTCAACAAGACTTGTAAACAGAAGAAGATTGTCTCCTTCCTACGGGATGAATTTTAATCCCTGCTAGCCTTTACTTTCATCCCCGGTGGGATTTTAAAACTCCTGCTCCTTCGGCTTCGGAATCAAGACTATACCCTCTGCCAGCTTCTTTCTCGACGTGTGATGTCATCAGAGTGCTTCCTTTTCCGCCCTGTAATTCGCTCAAAGGAAAAGTGACACTACCTTTCATCAGTTTGAGATGGGAAATTGGATCAAGGAAATTCATACATATTTTGTGCTCACTCTTGACAACAGACTTAGTATTCATTGATGTGCTAACTTACAAAGAAGTGCCAATGGGGGGAGTCTATATCAGCTGACCGGAGAAAGGCTAAGCTTACTTTGCCGCGGCACCTTAGCGTCCCGTCCCTTCCTCTCATTAGCTCTCTTTTATATGCACACGTGCGCGAGCCCTTTCAGAGAAGGAGTGGCTTCAGGCCGGCTTAGACTGCTTGACTGTCTTGCTAACCATTTCGCCTTTAGGGTTGCATGCTAGTCTTAGGTTGTATAAGAGATGTCGCCTTAAGGCTTCTTTTAATTAAAAAAATGGAAATAAGCTTTCTATATCCCGAAGGCCGATGAAACAGGATCTGGGGGCTTAGACCACTTGAACTCTTATTTTTTTAGCTTAAATTAAAGATAGGCCTTCTCGAGCCTTTTTAGACAAAGTAAAGGGAAAGTAAGGATCAATAAGAAAATAATAGGCATCGAATGCCCTCTTTGAAAGGAAAGAATACGCTCTTGTCGCAATTGAATCAATAGTTAACCCAAACACAGAATAGGCAGCTTGAAAAGAAGCTCTAAGCCTTGACGCTCTTGATGGCATTACCGCTGCTAGAAAGCTAACTGAATGCGTATCTGGTCTTGAGTAAATAGAAGCTCTGGGATTAGACGCTGTTGGCAATAACCGCTGCTACAGTTGGAGTTGTCGGTGCTTTAGTAAGAGTATGAGTAGGAACTCTTGTTGGTCTTGTTGTCGTATACGGTACTAGCCTTTTAGTCGTTTCCAGGGCTCTTCTCTTGTCACGAATCGGCTCTTTGAAGGAAGGAGGCAAAAGTTCTAGGCCCATCTATCCTAAAGTGAACCTTAAGCTAAGCTCTGATCTTCTTACTCTAAGAGCGGCAACAGCAAGTGCCCTTACTCCTAATCTTTTAACAGAACAGAATCATCTTTAGTTACGATAGAACCACAAAAGTCAACTGAAAGCAAACCATCGAGGGGCCGTAGGCGGTTAACTCGCTCACTAAAAGAAGTGCTTTTTTTTTTACACAAGGTAATGCTAATTAAAGTGCCACAGTTGATTCGTCGAAAAGACTAGCAGCATTTGTCCACTTCTCTGACTCTGAAAACGTCGAAGCGGTTGGCCCCCCCATTTGATCAATTTAATTGCCTTTATCTGATTGGCAACCTAGTCGATGCCTAAAATATGCTTTATTCCCTCCTCTTTCCTTGCTTATTTGTTTGTCTAGGAGCAGGAGTAATAAGTCATAAGTAGTGGTGAATCCGTGTAGCTGTCAGCTGGTAGTTTGTAATTATCACCCGGTAGCTGCTTTTAGAGAATTATGTCTGATCTTCTGGGGTGGTATAGCCTTTATAGAATATCCTCTCCCCCAGGAAAGCTAACTCAATAGGAATTATCTCTCTCGCCGATGCTATTGAATCCGCAGCTGTTGGTCTTGGTGGTAGGGGATCGTTATCATTCAGCAGAAGTACTTTGAGGGATTGCTAAGAATGGAAGACAATTTTGTCCTTATTTAGCTTGAAAGTGGGCCATTGCGATCGCGGTGATCATCTTTCCCTGTCCCTGCTAACCCACAACTAAAGCATCATGACTCTTTGATTCCACATCACATGCCCTAACTCCACGAAGGGATGGAATAGACACTAATCTTACCAAGATATACTAGTATTCAATCCTGAAAGAGTTAAGGAAGTGCAGAAAGATAGACATTAGTCTTGGACTTAACCCCTGAGGAGAAAGATCCACCTCAGCTTGTCCTAGAGCTAGCCTCAGACTCTGAAGTTTATGTTAACCATACGGGTCTATCAACCGCCTCATTTGCAAGGCTAAGAAGAGCAATGAAAGAAGAAAAGCTGTTATAGCAAGGATTTATTCTTTTAGGAGCTAGCTTAGCCGGACTTCCTAGAATAGCCGTATCTGTATAATAGAAGAATAGAGCGAGGGTTGCTTTCCGTAACGGGCTACTAACTACGACTTTGCTTCCGCAGCACGTCGAAGGTCTTCGTCAGGTGTCGGAATCACATTTTGATTGTGGTCTATGAACTCAATACCAGATAAAGAAGCTGCGAACAACTGAAAGAATAGAGGGAAGGTTGCATTCACACTTCTCTCTTCGTCATTCTAAAGCAAGGAATGAAGTAGATCTTCCCTTAAGGAATTAACAAAGATAGATGCCATTATCTTATATGTCATATCTATTTTCAAATAGGCCTGGTTCAACTCGACAGGATGGTGTTGGCCAAGAGTGACTAGCAACACGGAGTAGGGATGCTGCGACGGCAGAGGGGCAGAGATCGAAATATGGACTTTTGGTCGGACCTGTCGGAGACGATGCGGACCTTAATGCGCCCTATCTTCCTATCGCCCTAGATGGATGAGTAAGTCAAAAGATAGGGAGACCTTGACCAAAGAGATTTAGATGCATAGCTGGACGGACCTCCGATTCTGCTTGTTCAGATGCTGCTCACTCGCTGCCTGCGCTTAGCACGAGAAGACTCAATAGAGACCGATGAATCGCATTCTAGGTTCGAACTTGCTTCCAGCCACTTGGTTCAGCCCTACTTTCAGACTGAAGAGAAATGCTTTGGAGTTATTTTCCTGCGGCTTGACTAAACCTAATTTCCAAGC